TTCGGGGGGGGTTTTGAGCCGGCGGGCTTCCGATGCGGGGACAACCAAAAACACACAACCTTTTCCCGGGCTGGCCCGGAGGCTCGGCGGGCCCCGCCACCGTTGGGGCCGCACCCACCCACCCACCCACCCAACCCACCCAACCAACCCAGATTCCGTGGTCTACCCCACTTTTTCAAGAACGGGACGCGGGGTGGTATGAGAAAAAACGAGCCGCAGCGAGGTCTCTGGGGGTTGGTCGAGGGCTTGTCAGCGCTGTCACGAAATCGGTTGGACCTTCCCACGCAGCGCATGATCGTCCTGCTTGCGGTATTGGCCGCCAAGGGCGGTCCTTATCCGAGGATCGACGACAACCGCAGCTGCCCCGGCGGGCCGCACAAGACCCGCTCCGCCCTTTCCGGCTGCCGCGGCGGCGGCGGCTGCGCGGACACCTGCGAGGACAACCAGTGGAGCGAGTCATCGCTCGAGGGTGGCTCCGTGTGTGCGTGGGACGAGGGCGTCGTCCTCTACGCCGGCTTGGAAGGCCCACACGGTTACGACCGCAAGCTCCTCTGCCCGCTGTGCGCCCGCTCTGGCACCTGCGCCATCGTCCTTACGGCGGCCGCGTCTACCAGCGCCCCCATCGCAATGGAGGCGTCTATTTGGTCCCATGCCGCTGCTGGGCATGTTTGGAAGCTGATCGAGATGGGTGTCGGCGCCGGTGCCACCGTGTTGCTCGGGACATTCGCCTCGCTGAACCCAACCGCCGCTCTCGCCCGAGTGGCCTTCGCCCAGCTCGTCGGCAAAGCGGCCGCGTCTCCCACGGATCCACAACCGGCAGTCCAGCGGGGTGTTGGTGCGAAGTCCTCTCCGCTCCGGGGTGTTCGGCAGAGCTCTACGGAACCTTCTCCAAGGCAACAGTCTGAATTGCCGCAGGATCTGGCCTCGCACCTGCCCGCCTCACCGCGGCTCAGACCGCGGGGCCTGAGCAGCTCGGTGCCAGAGCCCCCGAGCCCGCCGCCGCCCTCGCCGCCGCCGCCCTCGCCGCCGCCGCCGCCTTCACCGCCTCCACCCAGCCCGCCGCCGAGCCCTTCCCCGCCCTCGCCGCCTCCGCCCTGGCTACCACCGCCCACGCCGCCGCCGCCATCGCCCCTCGATTGTCCGACCCTTTACGCGTCAGGGAGGTCAGACGCCATGGCTGAATTGAACAAATGGTGCAGCCAGCTTGTCACCAATATTGACGGACCCTGCTCAAGCTTTA